TGAAACATTTAGAGGCTTATCATAGCAACAAAAAACGAATCTGCAAAACTGTGGGCAACATCATAGAACGTATCAGAATATGATTAGATATTAGAATAGCTCAAATAATCTCCAATTATGCTGATAACTGTTTTCAATCAAGAAACACTTCGCTGATAATATTTAGAGGGTTTTTTTGGATGAATTTATAGAAAATCAAGAAACGAAACAACGAATTAGCTCGGAAAGATTGGTGTAATTACGTTTAGAGTGCTTCATTTATTTAATTAAACAGATTTTAGTCGTAATTCAAATTCATTTTTTAGGGCCAGACCCAGATGACTTGCTTGAAGCAGGATATACCGACGCCAATGGCGAGTTCCACCTTCAAGGTGGAACCGTTGAGACAACTCCTATCGACCCCGTTTTGAAAGTATACCATGACTGTAATGATGTAACAGGATTTCTCGGCGTACCTAAGGTACCTGCAAATTGATTCTTTTTCATAGACCTACCAAAATTCCCCTACTTGGTCATTACCTCTTTTCAGCCTGGTAGCCGAAAAGTGAAATTTTCTTTACCCGACAAGTATATCACCGAAGGAATGGTCCCGAAAAAAGTTATGGATATTGGGTCGATCAATCTTGAATTGGAATTCATGGATGAGGGACGCGAGTTTATCGTTGACTAACTCCAAACTATGATGTTCTCATACGCCATTGCACCTTTGTATCTGTTTGTATTGTCATAACTCTGATAATTGTACATAATCAAATGTGATGAGCATGAATGAATTGCATTACTACTAGTTTTATTCGTACTAAAGGAGAAAACATTAATCTGTGATCTCAAGCTGAGCAAAATTACTGAACCATCGCATTTTCAATTGAAGAAAGGGCTAATCAGAATTTAAAAAATAAATAACGAAGTGTAGCAGTTCAACTCTTTCATACTGCAAGTTACTGTCAATCTGCCTAGTCAAAAAGACAAACATACAAACTTTCATTGAGTAAAACGGGGTACAAAGTCAATAAACTAGACTTTTTGAGAGACGTTTCAACTCATAAGAACAGCCGATATCACATGATTAATTTTGGCTTCTGGCTAAAAGAGTTTGTCCTTGCGTTTTTTGGAGTAACAAAAAGAAGCTTCAATCAAGAATTTAAAGCTATAAGAAGCAGTACAATGCTGTCCACCAACTGCAATTGAACTGTTTAGTACCTCAAAAAGAAAGAAATGAAGTGTTATCATATACTTAAAATAATAAGACCCACTCTCTTAGTTTTCCTCCTAATAAATGGATCAAGGCATTAGATGGCACGTTGCTATCATATTTCCATATATAATATATCAACATAAGAGAG